TTCTTCTCGAACTTGAAGGAAATTATCACTGATTCTGAGGAATTAGTTTTTATTTCTGATAGGAATCAAAGTATAAGTAATGCATTGTCTACAGTTTATACATTCGCACATCACGATTGTTGCACATGACATGTGTCTCCAAACATCAAGAGTAATTTTAGATGTAGCGGTGTTCTGCCATTGTTCTTTAAAACCGTTGAGGCCTACCGCATTGACGAGTTTTCTGTCTTGTTTGATGAGTTGTCTGTAAGATATCCCAGTATTGCTAGATATCTACAGGAGCAAGTTCCTTTTGAAATGTGGTCTTGTGCTCATTTTAAAGAAAATTGATATAATATTATGACCACAAACATGTCTGAGTCAGTTAGTGCAATGCTCAAAGATGTTCGAGATTACCCTGTCATTGCCCTATTTAATTTTATACAAGCGAAGATGTCAGAGTGGTTTAATAACAGGAGGGTCGAAGCTTTTAAAACTAAAACATTATTAACACAAAGTATGGAAAAAACTCTTCATGAGAGGCATAACAAAGCGGGATTTCTAACGGCCACAAGACTTAATACTGTTGAGTTCTAAGTGACAAGTGGAGAGGCCACTGCAATTGTCAACATTGGAGCGAGGAGTTGCACTTGTCGTGTGTTCGACCTTGAGCAGATACCATGCGAGCATGCAATATCATGTTGTAGAGAAGCAGGAATATCTCTCTATGATTTATGCTCAAAATACTACAGGACAGAAGTTTGGGCTCTTGCGTATGCTGAGACAATCTATCCTGTGCCGGATACTTCGCAATGGGATATTCCGAATCACGTAAAAGAAGTTCACATTCTTCCACCGTGAGTTGTACCAAAGAGGGGTAGGCCAAAGCAAAAACGCATTCCCAGCATAGGTGAGTTCACACGAATACAGAATCGATGTGCTAGGTGTGGGCAATATGGACACTATCAGAAGAAATGTAAGAACGCACCGATGTAATCATGATTTATAAATTTTGGTGTTAAATTTTGGTGTTACAATGTATTTACACTTATTATATTCAAC